ACACACTTATTTATCATTCATGTATCCAGAAATGGAAACCACTGCTTTTCTGAATCTCTCACTGCACCTTAGTTCTAACAAAAAAATTTTTACAGTATTTCTTGTGCCATAGAAGAATTTTCTGTGTTTTAAACACAGATCAGGCTAGTAGGTACATTTATTTCATGTGCCAGAACTATGCTTAGATGAATCCATCTATTTCTTATAATTATTTCATGGCAGCACATGAAGTCCAATGGTTCCCAGCATGACTCATTTAGAATATTTAGTACTACTGTGTTGACATTCAGCCAGCTGCTTGCTGATAGCTGTGTGTAAGGAGTTTATTGGTGAATCTGATTCACCTCAAAGCAGGTCACAAATCTCAGTCACAGTTCAGTAGATCATTGAGATTTTATTGTTCATGTTAGTCTTTTTTTTCTGGCATGCTTCCAAGCCACAACTTATTGTATGGGTTCAGAGAGAAACATGAAGGGAAGGGCTGAGGAGGCAACCTGCTGCTAATATGTAATTCCTAACTTGGTTCTGTTCTTGACATTGTCCCCTGTGAATGACAGCAATTTAAATGGTTATAAAATTCATATCCTTGTTTTTAAGAACAAAGATTTACTGTCAGTTCTGAAGCTTGATGTGTTTCTTATTCCTGTCATATTCTTAATCAAGAGCCACAACTGACATGGATTGTGCTAAATGTGACTAGCAGGAAGCTGCAGATAACAAGACTCCCAACGTAAGTGAAAATGACAATGCATTGGTGCTCCGCTTCGCCTTTCCTACATTCAAAAGAACAAAATGCCTACAGTGTCAGTATCCAAAGCAAATCACAGGTAGCAAATGCAAGCTATGATAAGGATATCTAACAGAATCTTGTACACAAAATATTCCAAGCAGATACACCACTGTATTCCTTGACCCTATTATTCCCTAATAGTAGTGCATTCCGACTGATGTAGAGTTCTCTCAACTTGATTCTGTAAACTATGTGAAAGCAAGGCACATGTGTCTTAGTATCTGGTCCCAGAATGACTAAATACAGAGGTCCATAATTTGCCTATATGGGGAAGGCAACTAGACAGCAGCTTACTACATTGACTGCCCTAAGTCTCTCAGGTTCAAAGCAACGAGGGGCCATCTAGGAATGCCTAGGTGTTTGGCTCCTAAATGCCACTGCAGTCATTCATTTCCCCAGTTGGGCTTCAGTGTTGACTGTCTTTTGGATGGAACCAGTTAAAGCCAATTAAAATCCTTTGAGATTGGACACTTTTTCAAATTGCTCTGTGAACCCCATTTTTTCATCTGAATTATTTGTTGCATGATTATCAAAATGAAGATGTAACTATAAACAAGGCTTTGTCCTTTTCATATAATTTATGTAAGCACTGTGCAATCAGTTCACCTTAATGTTGAACAGATTAAGAGTTCAAACTAATCTAATTTGAATCCGGATCAAATAAAAGCTGTCCAAATCAGGTTTAAATGCAATACACATTGCTTTGGACCAATAAGTCCTTCCATACATTAAAAGAAAGTTGAAAACAGTTGTCTTCAAGATGTGGGAAAATAGAACCATATAAGTTTTTTCAGGAAAACAGAACTCACTGAGAATTTCCAGTGTGTTGCATACACCTCAGCGATGTGTTTGAATCACAGGGATTGCATGATTTTGCTGTTTTGAGAGGTTTTTGTTTTTAGGAGGAGGAAAGTTTTGAAAGCTCTTGTTGGAATCTGGTAATGTTTGTGTTTTTTAGTAACTTGTGCATCACATCCAACAAGCAGTCAAACTTCCATCCGTCAACTTCAATCAGTCAAACTTTCCAAACTTTTTCCCAATCCAGTCTCATTCTCCTTTATTCTTTAGATTTGATAATAATATGGCATTAAGTCAATTCCTATTGTTTATTTAAGTGCACGTGTTAGTTGATCTTAGGGTTGTTTTAATAGTCATTTTATTAGGCAGAAATAATGCATGCATAAAGCCTTAAGAATAAAGGGAACTTGCATGCTATGGGCATCTATAATAAAACAAGCCTAAATTATTTGACTTAGAATAATAGCATTTAGTAATTGACAACAAAAAAAGACAAGTTACACCATTAAACTGCTCACAAAAAAACTGGTATCTTTAGAAGACTCGTTTTTTAATGCCTATAGTGTACAGGGCAGAAAAAGAGGAAGAATCAATGTTGAGCTTTCACAGGTGGTATGCTGGTAGTTGTGAATGAGGAAAGGACAAATTCCCATGCTTTACACACAGAGACATTATTTTTTTGATGGAAATAGCTATCACATCACACTCTTAAAACCTAGCTTTTGTTTTGTCAGCTCTGCAGCTGTTGCTTGGTTTACAGCAGGTATACCAACCAGATAGTATATTTATAGCATGTTTCTCAAAACATTCTTGCTTTATAATAGCCTGGCTGCAAAATACAACAGCAATGTAGCACACATGCTCTATTATTTTAGGACAGCTAGTTAGTCTGTTCTTGAATTCTGATGTATATTCCTATTGTGCTATTCCTCCCTGAAACAACTGACTCTATAATTATTATGAATTATGTCACAAAAAAGGATGCACTGTGTACTTCGACTTCTGCTCCCAGCTGTCTTTAATATTTCAGGGCTAAAATCTTATTTTAGTTCTGACTTTTATATATATTACACACATGTGTGTGCGTGCACGCGCGTGCGCATGCGCGCGCGCGCACACACACACACACACTCACTCACTCCTGAATTTAGCTCTTTCTACTCTTCTTTTTAAGGTCCTTTTATGGCCTCACTTTATTTTATTTCATTCTTACTTTGGGCCACTACAAAACTAATTTATTCTTCTATTTTCAAACCTAAACTTATTATTTCATTTTCCCCCTACCATTTTGATACATGTGAGCCATTAGCTGACATGTTTATTTTCAGTAGTCTGGACCAGCTTTTAAAATTTGCTTTGCCTTCTTCAATTTATAAATGCTATAATCAATTATTTAGGCATTATTTCCCAAGTGAGTCCTAAGCAGAAGAGTTGATAGCCCTCACATAGGCTATTCGAAGAGACAGGCGTCTCTGAAGCAGCTGACACTAGTGAGCCCAGATAGTTTCCAACCTCTCTGGAGCTCCAAGATTTTGAGGGCCAGCCAGCAATTGCACATTTCATACACCACCCAGCCAATGGAAAGGCTGTGTTGTGTATGTCTATTCCCCTGTCTTTGCTGAGTTTGCATTGTTTTGCCCATTGCATATTCAGCCTGAGGGTAACATTGAAAGAAAAGTTGGCCATCAGAGAGAAATACCACAGAATGCACAGCAAAGTAATTGCACTCAATCACCATCAGCCCAGCATCAATAATTAGGCAGGAGCCCAAATAATAAAGTTGGCATCTAGACTTGCCAGCGAAAACACGAATTGTTTCCATGTTCCATGCCATTGTAAGACTGCAACACAAATTATTTCAGGTGAAATTTATCAAGGAAGCCACTTAGTTGAAAATGAGCAAGAAATCTGTGGCATTAACATGGTTCTGGTAATAATAATGTCCTCCTCCTCCTTCGTGAACTTTCAGCTAAAGAATTCTCATATTTTCCTGGTGACATGCTGTCTGTGCGAATCTAATTAAAACTTTCTTTTTGGTCCTTAGGTAGAAAGATAACTCTTCAGAGATGAGCTCTTAATTAATGCACAGGGTCCCTGCGAGTCCCACCTCTCAACAGCAGTGATTGACATTCAAGGATACATAAATTACACTAATTGAGCTTTGCATCTACACAATCTTTCCACAACCAACTCATCAGAGAAGGTAAGTGAGCGGACCAGCATAAAAAGTTACTTCTGTATGGCTGTGTGTTTCCCTTTGGGGGAAAAAGTCTTTCCAGATTACTGAGCATATGTTAATATAAGAGACAGATTTTCTCCTCACTTTTACACTGCATTTTCTTTTAAAAATATTAACATTGTAATACAGCAATTTTCCAACTGTACATAGCACTTTTAAAAAGCCAAAACATTTTTTTGCAAATCAATAACACTTTAAAAATAATCACTTAGCACTGTTGGTTTATTTTTGATTTTCTCAGAATACAATAGGAATTCTTCCAGATATATAGAGGGGATACAAACCAACTTAAGCACAACTAATTTCTTTTATAGTTCAAGGCCATGACATTTGCCTCAAATCACACGAGATGCCATGAATTAAAGGAGGAGTTAAACTTAATTCTCATCTTTGGGCATTTAAATTGTCATAGTCTTATGGTTGTTGAGGGTTTTTCGGGCTCTTTGACCATGTTCTGAAGGTTGTTCTTCCGACATTTCACTAGTCTCTGTGCCCGGGATCTTCAGAGGACAGGAGTCAGAACTCTGTGCGGAGTTCTGACTCCTGTCCTCTGAAGATGCCGGCCACAGAGACTGGCGAAACATCAGGAAGAACAACCTTCAGAACACGGCCAAAGAGCCTGAAAAACCCATAACAACCATCAGATCCCGGCCGTGAAAGCCTTTGATAATATATTGTCATAGTCTTATTGCTTCAGATATTATGGCTGAGGTTATAAAGCATCAGCCTTTTAGCCACAGATCAGAGTTTGGAATGGCCGCTTCTTTGGACTACAGCTTTTGAAAAGCTCTACCCATCCATGTTCAGCAAACACAGAAAAGTTGTGTCACTGTGGCCAAATAGAAACCGCATTAGCATCTGGCCCTTCCAGATTCTTGGGGCAATTTGTTGCACTGGGGGCAGATTCTCTGAAATTAAGATAATTTCCCTTCTTAACCTTGCTGGATGGGCAGGACTAAATAAGATCCTGGATAGGAGTTGAGGGAAGTGTTGAGGAGATCTGTAGGCTTCCTGCAAGCAGACATCCTGTATTAAGCCACATCCTGTCAACACTCACTCGGTCAAATCCCAGGATAGAATAACCTGTCCTGAGCACAGGCAGTGCTCTCAGAATGTCCTGAAATATACCATGACTGAAGGGGGGTGGGCATCATGGGAAAAAATTCTGCATACAGTTCATACATGTGTAAGAGAAGTCGCTGGACATAAGAGGTTCTTTGGTACGGAGATATTCACAGAAAATATATTTTTCAACACCATGTCAGCTGTGCATTTCTAGCCCTCTACCTTTCCCTTTTTTAGACACAATCAGGTGGTTTAAATCTGAAAAATTCTGCTATGTTGTGTCTTGCTGCTGAATAATTCAAAAACATAGAAGAATGAATTGCTTCAGACATCGATAAAGCACACTTGCCTAAAATTCTCCCTTTTAGTTTTGGACCAACTGTCCTGTTTCATAGTTGACTTTGATCTTCTTGCAATAAATGTTGTTTAAAGAATGTCTGAGCTGCGTTCATTAAATTTAACTAGACAGTTTTGCCACGATTAAGGCTGCAGTGCAATGCAGTGAGGATGAAATCATTATACATTTGAAGAGAGGGGTACCAGCTGGAAGAGAGTGGTTAGAAAGATATGATGGATGGAGCTGGGTTATATCAAGGTAGTCCTTGGTAAGAAAAAAAGAAATTGTAAAGGGAGTGCGGTGAGTGCTGGAAGCAATCAAGGAAGAAAAATGGATGGAATCCAAAACATGCCTACTTAAAACTTTCTCTGTGGCTGAAGCAACAGCTCTCGCTATAAAGATAATCTGTTTGGTCTGGGAAAATGGCTTCTGTCCAGTTGTGTGCCTTTGTCTAAATAACTTAAGATCATCTTAAAACGGGTGTTTGCTTTCCTCTGTTTTGACATTTCTTTTCATTCACTAAAATTTTCCCAGTGCTTTATGTTACATTCTCAGTGATAAGCATGTCTAATTGCTTGAGTTTCAGTGGTTGAGTTTTAGTTTGGCACTCTAACTCAGTATTCTTACAGTTTTCCATTGATAGGTTTATGGTTTCCTAGAAGGCATGAGTCTGTTTTGATTATTATTTTTAAACTATAAAATAAGGTACATCTTTATAGAGCTGCCCACATGGATGAAGCCAAGTATGAAACAGTTAATGACAGATATGGCAGAATACATACCTCTTTGAAAACTATGGTCTAAATCCAGTATAAGTTCTTCAACTGGCAAAGGTAAAGGTTCCCCTTGACAATTTTTGTCCAGTCGTGTTCGATTCTAGGGGGCGGTGCTCATCCCGTTTCCAAGCCATAGAGCCAGCGTTTTGTCCGTAGACAATCTTCCGTGGTCACATGGCCAGTGCGACTTAGACACGGAATGCTGTTACCTTCCCACCAAGGTGGTCCCTATTAATCTACTCGCATTTGCATCTTTTGAACCGCTAGGTTGGCGGGAGCTGGGACAAGTGACGGGAGCTCACTCCGTTGCGTGGATTTGATCTTAGGACTGCTTGGTCTTCTGACCCTGCAGCACAGGCTTCTGCGGTTTAGCCCACAGCGCCACCACGACCGGCATAGACCCTTCGAAATGCATTCATCATGTGATTCAAAAGAAATGAAAATGATGTTGCTTTCAAACTCTACAGGTGGAGAGTTCAGGGATACTTTGCGGTTTAGCCCACAGCGCCACCACGACTGGCATAGACCCTTTGAAATGAATTCATCATGTAATTCAAAAGTAATGAAAATGATGTTGCTTTCAAACTCCACAAGTGGAGAGTTCAGGGATACTGCCATTTAAATTTGCCATTGCTTGTTTTAACTTGTGTCCCTTCTTCACATTTACACACTAAAAACGAGAATCCACTGCATACATTTCACTCAGACAGCTCAGCTCAGCTTTCTGCTCTCGGAATGAGGCTTGTCTAATTGGGGGGAGAGTGTTGCTTTTAAAATATTTGGACCAGATCCGTAGCAAAGCTCATAGGGGAGAAGTGGCAAGTCACACATTGCTTGTTTTAACTTGTGTCCCTTCTTCACATTTACACACTAAAAACGAGAATCCACTGCATACATTTCACTCAGACAGCTCAGCTCAGCTTTCTGCTCTCGGAATGAGGCTTGTCTAATTGGGGGGAGAGTGTTGCTTTTAAAATATTTGGACCAGATCCGTAGCAAAGCTCATAGGGGAGAAGTGGCAAGTCACAGTCTAAACAGAAGGGAGATGTCAGGAAATAGCAGAGCTTTATAGGGAATGAGTTTGCTCAATCTCAGCTCAGCTTTCTGCTCTCGGAATGAGGCTTGTCTAATTGGGGGGAGAGTGTTGTTTTTAAAATATTTGGACCAGATCCGTAGCAAAGCTCATAGGGGAGAAGTGGCAAGTCACAGTCTAAACAGAAGGGAGATGTCAGGAAATAGCAGAGCTTTATAGGGAATGAGAATACTTTGCTCAATGGCAGATAGATCCCTATTTTGCCAGCAGACCATTATTGTGCCATCCAATAAACATTTTGCTTTGTAATAATATGGAATTCGCAACTGAAAAAGTCTAGACCGGCCCACTTCTCTCTCTGCTCTTTAGATAGACCGTTGGCAACCCAAAGACTGGTAACAAACAGCCGTTTAATGGTGGGTGGGTCTTCTAATTCTTTTTTGTTATGTTTTTAAGTGTTTCTAAATCTTGCTACTTCTGTGCTGTTTAATATTTAATAGTGTTTTGATACTGTAATTTGTTTTAGGTTTTTTGTTTTTAACCATGACTGTTTTTAAAACTCACATTGTGAGATCATTGGGGCCTGGAAGGAAAAAAACATATTTACATTACTAAATCAATCATTTTAAATAAAATCTGAAGATGAGCCAGTCTTCCTTCCCCTCTGTTAAGGAAATGGTGGGCCTTTAATTTAATTTAATTTAATTATTCTATTTATACCCCGCCCATCTGGTCATTGCAACCACTTCAAGGCATAGTATACCCTGCTCAAGAACCCAGTGCTCAGCCGTTCCTTTAAATTAAAATAGACACCCATAGCTAGGCTTGCCAATTTTTCAGTTGATCCTTGTAGTTTACCTAGACCCAAGACAAATGTTACTTCTAACGGCTGCAAATTTTGCTATTGTTACAAGATTAAAGCACCAACTGAAATCCAGTCCTGGGGTGTTTTCCGCAATATCAGTTTTCTTCCCAGAACAGTAATTGCAATGTTGTTCCCAGGGCATGTTGCATCCGGTTGCATCAGTCTCCTCTAGCCAGATGGGACAAGTGAAATTCGTTGGGCTATCCTACTCAGAAGTCACCATTCTAGGCTTTTTTTCTCACAATATTGATTTTTTGCCCAGAACAAATATTGGAATCCTCTTCCTGCACATGATTTGTAGCTTGCTAATTCTATCTCATCTAGTGTTATGTATTTGGTTGGATTATCCTATTAAGAAGTTGTCATTGTGGGTCAGTCTGTTCCAGCAGGGTTTGAGGCAATGATAGATTAATATTCATTGGGTTTGAGGTCTAAAATATTGTTCTGATGTTTGCCCAACACATCCCACTATTTTTGGCATTGATTCTTATTAAGAAGTCCCTGTTCAGCTTTTACCCAGTCCCATGCATCTCTTTGCCATGAATAAGCTAGGATAAGGAAGAAATGATGACATAGAAATGACTTCATACTACAATTTTCTGACTGACCAAATGTCCATGACTGGTCCTGCCATTAGGCCAGTTGGGGTAGCCAAGCAAGATATTATAGGTGAAACAAAGGGCAATGAATTGTAATTTTTATGTTTACTGCTGGAAATATGCTTGAGGAATTTTTTGCCTCTTGGCTCAGAGTAACTCACCTGCTTTTGGATAGAATGCACCTTGACATGAGTGTGTGGGCACACTCTTAAGACCATTCCATTCAAAGAAATTAACACTTTTTGCATTCTGTTCTAGCTTTATTCCTGCATCCAGAATGGCAAAGTAT